GGTTCAGCCCGTGCCGGGTCAGGAACTTACTCGGCCTCGGGCGTCATTTCGTGGCCGTGCAGAGCGAAACCTGAATGAGCGTGCGAGAGAGAGAAGGGCCACCAGTCCGGGGGGAGGACGGGGCCGCGGGCGGGGGGGGGTCTGCAGCTCCCCGCAACCCGGGGCCCGAGCGTCCCCCGCGACAAGAAGAGGGAGAAAAGGGCTCAGCGGCAGCACAGCCCTTTCTGGTGATTCACTGACCAGAGGCAGCTAGGCTCGCTCGGGCTGGCCTGGATCGAGTTTCTCTGAAGTGACTTTTCAGAGTAAAGACGACAGGAGTGAGTACGTGGACTGCTGTGTTCTACGTGGAAGTCCGGAAAATAACCAACAATCACCGTCCTGTCTCCGCTGGGCTTCCAAGTGCGATGTTTGAAGTGCGAAGTCGAGTGACTCGCAGACCTGCGTGCGAGGCTCTTGTACCGCTGTTTCGTCTTCCGTTTGAGGGACCTCAGAGTACTTTTCACACGACAGACTGGCTCAGATCTTCCTCTGGGCGCAGTGTTTTTATCCAAGCTACTGTATGATTCTGAACAAATGTCAGTCCAGGAGTGTGTGTGTGTGTGTGTGTGTGGAAGCAAAACTTTTAAAATCGTGTGAAAATAAAATAGATCAAAGGAGTGGATGCTGAGGAAGCAGCCATGCCCCGTGCTATGAATGCTGTTAAAAGGATGAGTGACTGATAAATGAGTGAGGCACATTCATCCAGCACAGCTAAAAGGAAGAGCAATCAACGAGTGAAGGAGCGCACAAGTGCAGCGTCTCCTGCCCTGCGTCCTTCCTGCTGCCCCATCACCTGGCTCCAGCGCCGCTGACCTGACTCGGTTCCGTGCCGGGGTTCTAAGAGCGTGTGCTGGTCCCTGGACGGGCACCGACACCTGCCTCGTCACGTACTCACCACCTCTCAGGTGATACTTGCCTCTTTTCCAAGGCGTCCGAGAGACACGGCTCAACCTAGAGAAACTGCTCTAATGGTAAGAATTTCAGGCCCCGTGGCAGCCCTGCGGGACTCAGGGACCACTCAGCCCGTGTTGCCTGGATGAAATTTCTGCACATCCTCAGCTCCGCCCTCAGAAAATGTTTAAAAAAGAAAAAAAAGCACCAAGTCCTTTAAGTATGTCCCCAACACCTCACCTCTTCACATCACCTGCCGTACACAGTCAAACACCGTTGTATCTTGGAGAAATCTAGTTATTCCTTCACAGAGAGTAGGATATAAGCCTGGACGCATCACACAAATAACTCTCGCCACAATCCGTTAAGTCTACTGAAACCCCTGCTGTTTTCTTTACTTTCTCCTTCGCAATTCCACGCATAAGTGAAGAGATTTGAAGCTGCCACGAATTTCTCAGCTACCATTCAAAAGCAAAGCAGAAAAAAAAGTTACAAAACCAAAAAAATCCCCCAAACCCCGGCATTTCCAATGTTACGAAGAAAAAATAAGATCAAGTAATAGAAGTTACCCAAAGTGCCCATCTGCATGCAGGGTCCCCCAAACTCATTTCCCTGTGATGAAAGCGTCCATGTTCAGCGTGCGACCGACCTAGCGTTCACTGCTGTGACTTATAAAAGCGAGGCCCCTGGTGTCACGCAGGGGCTAAGAATAAACAAGGCTGCTTGGCGAGGGCACACACGGCCTTACCCTAAGCCTGGCTGGTCCGGGCGGGGGTGTGAACCGAGCTAAGTCCTCACACTCTCTGCCTGAAGGAAGAAGGTGACACCGAAGGACAAGCCCACACTCTTGGAAATGGTAGAAAAGCATCAGAAACTGGTCCTGTCGGCCTGAGAGGTGTCTGGATGGATACCTCTTTTTCTGCAGAAAGATGTTTGGTGCCGGGACACAAGGTCTTCACATTTTAATGGCGATGCTCATAGGTAACGTGCTCTTTTCTTATCACTTGTAGAAGCTGAGTAGTACGTTGTTAGAGTTTTTAAGATGTTCACTTAGCAACTGCTGTTAATGCTGTATTAGGCATTACTGCCAGCTGAAAATTAGAACTTTTAAGTAAGAGAATGTTACTCAATGTAATGAGGAAAGGACTTATGCATTGAGCCCTTGGTCTTTATATTTTAATATTTTAAAATTTCTGTTAATTAAACACCTAGGTCAGTTAAAACAGAGAAAGATGAAACTTACTTTTTTGCATATATGTTTTTGTAGAAATAATTTTCTCTTGGATGTTTCATTATGTATGATTTTGAATAAGGTGGGAATAAGACAAAGGTCATTTTAATAGCCAATGATATTTATATAAACTTAAAATTTATGGCCTTCTTCTCCATTAATGTAATTTATTCTGATGTAAGTGCAGGCTGCATCAGATAATAAGAATTTTCCCCATCGTGATTATTTTTGAAATACAACTGTATCGTGGAATCAGATATTCAACTAAAAGAATTTTTGAAAAATAAAAGGAAGTGATCATTTTCAGTTAATTAAGTGAACTGACTTCATAAACAAAACAACAGTCAGCGTCAAGTAATCCACCTCACAGTATAAATACATGGACATAAATAGGCAATTCACTGTCGGCCGAAGCACCCAGTTAAGAGCCTGAGTGACGCAAGTAATCCCGCCGATGTCCCCTGATCCGTTTATCCTGACTGACAGCAGAGCTTGCTGTCCTTGGACGAGCCACACAGCCAATAAAAGAAATTCCAGTCTTCCCGCTTTAGTTTTCCAGGTTCATCAAATAAACATGTCCAACCTTACTTTACACTAGCGATGCCCACAGAGCTGACGTTAAGCCAGGTAGAAGCCTGTGTAAGTCACTGTGTATCGCTCTACTTCAGTATCTTTTCTTCAACACCTTTCCTTTAGACCACTGACCCAAATACAGGCTTTCTCTTCACTCTCTTCTTTTCCCCCAGGGTGGCGAAACTTAAAACTAGTTTCCCTGTGTAGATTTAAAGAAATACATAGTCAAGTGATTGGCAGTTCTTTTGTGAAAGATTAAATGTGTAAATGTTAGGAATTACAAGGAAAAATGCAGTAAAGCAACAGGAAAGAACGTGTGACCATCGGGCCTCCCTTGCCCACCAGGGACAGATGAAGGATGCCGCAAACGCTCAGGAAAGAAATGTCGGGCTTCAGGCCCACAGACCGTAGGCGCGGACAGTTTTAGTAAGTGCGCAGCATCTTCCCGTCTCTGGTTTCCTCCCACTGCACTCTGGGGCACAGTCCCGTGGGATTGGTCCTTCCGAGAAACCATGTTGCTCCTCCATCCGACAGCTGCCAGTTTATTGGCTTTCAGAAAATACACACATAAACACACAAACAAATAAATGTAAATAAAACAAAACAATAAAAGCTCCCTCGCTTCCAGACCTTCTCCAGTCTGGCTTTCTCCAATCTTTCTGACTTGCTTTTCCGACGTAAATCTTCCAGGCCAACTAGATCACCAAACTCACTCTAAAGGCCGAACGGTTTTCCACTGAAGAATTTTTTCTAGTCAGTTATTTCCGCAGACCTCTTGGTCGGTCTCAGCCATTCATGGAGACCGAGACTGAATCCTCTCTCCACCAAGCCTCCCAGCCCAGCCCGGCGGGAGAGCTCTCTCTGCACAGCTACTGGGATGTCGCTTACCAAGTCACTCGGACTCCCGCGTGCGCTGTTCAGTGCTTTCTCTTCAGCGCTGCCCTGACTTACACCGTCGTTTAATTTCTCACAAATGTGTCTTGCCTTTCCATCAGACTCACTGAGGGCGGGACCAGCGTGTGCGCCACGCCGTCCATGGTATTTTATACATGCTAGCTATGTCATCAGTGTGTGTCTATTGATTTAATTTAAAATGTTGAGTTTTCACTGCTGAAGATTTATGATCATCTCTTATTCAGGGCTTTTTCCTTAAAACTTGGCTAAACTTTCCCCAATGCCCCCCCCCACTTTGATCCTCCCGTATTATCCACACATTCATGGAGAAACCTGCTGTGTACAGTGTATTTTCTGTCTTCATAGACATGCGTCCTGTTACCCCACCGTGTTGTAAGCAAGTTGAGGCCAAGTCTGTCTCTCCGACTTGGCATCTCTCACAGTCCTCTGCGACGGTGGGGTCCAGAGGACGTAGTTTGTAAATTTAACTTAACAGTAAATTGATTTTTCAGCCAAGAGTCAAAATATGGTTGCTGTTAGGTACCAGAGTGGATTCTGAGAGCGACTGTGTGCTCTATGAATGTCCATATCAAGACAGATGACATAATTTAGGCTTCTTAAATGTTTACTCATTTTGAGGGAGTGTGAACATTCCTAAGAGGCAATCTGAAGGAGGGTGTCTGTCAAGAGGTTTCCTTGGAGAGACTCGCTGCTGCCCCAGGAGTTGTGCCCCTGCCCCCAAGCCGGGGGATGGATGGAGGCTGCATTCTGACCCCGCGATGGGGAGCGAGAGCTGCTTCAAGGAGAACTCTGGTCTCACCTAAATTCGGGGAGAGGAGGGGATGGGCCACATAGACTAGATTCTTCACCCACCTGCGGAATCTAAAGATGAAAGGGCGTGACTCCCAGCCTGAGGGAGCAGGAAAGAGGGAAAGGACGGACTTGCTGCTGGTGGGGTGGGGAACTGACTGTGTCCCCCTCCCAGGGGAGCAGAGGCACCTGGACCCTGGGGTCTTTTGGGGACTCATGGGAGGAACATCAGTCAGTGGCCAGTGTACCTGGTCCCTGTCAGCAGGTGCAGGAACCCCATGGGGCAGAGTCTGTGGAGGTCAAGTAAGCCTCAGAGAACCCATAGTGAAGGGGAGGGGCGGGGCAACGTGAGAGCCGCTGGTCCAAGGAGAGGCGAGACTGCCCCACAGAGCAAGAGACCAGGAGGATGCGAGGACCTCGACTAACGGTCACCGTGACACTTCAGCCAGTCTCAGTGCATGGGACTGCCCTACGCCAGTGCCGTCAGGTGGAACTTTCTGAACCCTCTAACACTCAGATAGAAGTCTGGAGGTGGGAGGGAGGGAAGAAAGAGCAGGGAAGCCTTCCAAGCCCTTGTCCAAGATGGCCTGAAGTCGACCAGCAGACGAGGAAAGAAGATGCAGTCATAAACTGCACTGAAGCTTGTGGTTTCAGGACTGGCCGTTCTGCTGATTGTAGGCTTTTAAAAGTGATCTTAAGACGATGACTCAAGGCTGAACAGAAAAGACTTGGGGTCTGCTGGAGACTTTATCCAGAGATTTCATCCTGCCTTAAATATGTCTGCAAGCACAATGGGCAGGAAAAAGAATGTTTTTCTTTGATTGTGACTCATGAGTTGTTCAATATTCCTCTTAATTAAATGCTTGCTGATTATTTTCTATATTCTCTAAACCCTGTGAAAATCAAATTTAAGTAAAATGGCTTCTAATACAAAAGTTTGAAATTTTCATTAGTTCCGTTAAATGGAACTTGCATCAGAAGAGAGCCTGCAACTCCTGTGTCAGTCCTCTGCTACCTGTAAGGATGGTTATGCAACTAGTAAATCAGTTCGATTTAGTTTTGTTTTTGCAGCACTGTGCAGGTGCCGTGGGAGCTGGTGAGATACGTTCCCTCTCTTCACAGAGCTTGAAATACTTTGGGATTAACAAAGATGGTATGAAAGCAATCCAAGCAGAGCAAAATATAAGCACGATATGATCCAAGCAAGGGTCTAGATGGACAGTACGTAAACGGCCGTGGGCAAAGATTGACGTTGGGTAGATTTACCTGAAAACACACACTAGGAGAGCACTTTGGGCTTTGGATTAGACCAGGTTAAATGCAATGTAAAAATTTTACTTGCCTTACAAAGGTCGTCATTAATCAACTCATTCAAAAATGAATTACCAAGTAACAAATGCGGGCCAGGCATTGTGCTGTGGTTCAGATGTGCATTGGTGAATAAAACAGGCTTTTCCCCTTCTCTCTTGAAGAGCACAATCTAATGAGATTCCAGCCTAATGTGCTGTGCAGGTAAATCTCTCATTATGCAAAGTTATGCAATTTGTAGATCACTCCAGATGCCCACACTTTCTTAATAGTCTCTCTCAATGATGGTCGTGCTATTTGAGTTTGTCATTAGAGGGTAATTCCTTTGGTTATTACTTTTTAATTACAGCCAACACGTATTGAGAAGTTCTTTATATATCAAGCAATGTTATGAGCATCTTAGTGTCTTAACTCACTTAAATCTTTAAAGAGTCCTGTGGTGTAAATACTATTATTAACCCCATTTTGTAGATCAGAAAACCAAGACACAAAAAGCAAGTGCAGCCTGCTCACAGCCCAGCTGGGAGTCGGAGCCAACATCATCCATGTAGGAGCCTATGATTAAATTTAAAGGAGCACACATTTAAGCACAGCTAAATGGGAAAATAAGAAAGACATGTGAAGCGGGAAGGGTGTAGCTCAGTGGCAGAGCACATGCTTAGCACGCACGAGGTCCTGGCCTCGATCCTCAGTACCTCCATTAAGTAAATAAATAAACCTAACAATCATTTTTTAAAAATTAAAAATAGAACTACCATACAATCCAGCAATCCCACTTATGAGTAGATATCCAAAGAAAGACCCATCAGTAGTCACAACAAACAAGACTGCACTAAAATATCAAGTGAAAAACAGAAGGTGTCCAATTGGATTTTAAAAATCTAGAAACCAGATTGTAGAAGTGCCTTGGAGTTCAGATGTCAATCTTTCTAAGCCTCACTGTTGTCTGTTGAAGAGAGCTAGGAGATCGCGGTTAAACACAAACACATAACATGCATGACAGTGTTGGCGAAACTGTAAAGTGCTACACGTGTCAGTTTTTGGTAACGTTATTTGTTCACTGGGACTTCATTGAAAGGCAATAACCAGCACTCTTAAAATGTGTTATATTTCTTTTTGTTACTTTGATTAAATGCGTTCTAACAATTCTCTAGTTAGGTATCTTTTTTGTGACTTA